TTTTGTTTTTTGTGGCTATTTTAGCCCCAAACACCACTTGCCAAACACCACGAACGGAACAAAAAAATAAAAATAAGACTGATTGATATAACAATTTATGAGATAGAATTTATTAGTAAATATTCCATGAAAATATAAGGCGCGTTGTTTAAATGCTTTTGAAATATTTAGGCCTTGTTTGGCACAATCTAAAAAAGTTAAAAAATCAGAAAGTTACTATCTTATTTAAGTCACATCATCTTGTTTAAGTCACATCTCCTCTCAACACATCACTTCAAATCCAACCCATACCCAACTCATATTTTATAAAAAGTTAAAAAGTACACTTAGCCTCCGTTTGGGAAGTGTGCTGGCTTTTTGACTTTTTTTTGGCTATTTTAACCTGGGCTAAAAAACTTGATTTGAGAAGGATTTTTTAAATTTTTGATTTTTTTGTGAGAGAAGAGTGTAATGATTATGGATTGGATGTGATATGTTATTTGTTCTGGCTAAAATAACCTATTTTATCTTTTATGACTAAAATAATCCTAAATCTCCTTATCAAACGAATTTTTATTTAGATCATTTCAAATCACACCTTAAAGACGAAAAATTCAACCCGTCATCACGTTTATATCATGTGCTTAATAAACTCAAAGTGGCGGTGAAAGTGGGAGCCTTAGAGCAATGTGGTCTTACCATTCCCTCGCTGAATGGGAGAATTATATATATATATATATATATATATATTTATATATTAGTGGTGTTATTGAATTCGTAAAATATAATTTTTAATTTTAAACTAAAAATATTTAATATTTATTACTTTAGTGGTAAAAATAGTTTTTACCAAACTAATGGTCTTAAGCTCAAATTCCTTCCACCACCTTTATATTTAATTTTTTATTTATATAAAAAATTAACTACACGTGACATAAAATAAAAGTTTGGAGAAAGTGATTTGATCACTTTATATATAGTATAGAAGATAGATAGTGGGCGTAAATATAATGTATTTACAATTTTATATTTAAATTTTTTGACGATGAGTTAAATGAAAAAAAATAAGTTGAATATGAATCTGAGCACTTAATAATATAAACATTCTTAAAATAATGAGTAAAAATAAAATCAAGATAAAATTTCAAAACTGTTGTGAACAAGGTTTTAAAAAGCGGCCGTAACCGTTACGTAACGCTGTTACGTAACGGTTTTGGTTGTTACCGCCACCCATTACGGCCGTTTTTGCAGTGTGATTGAGATTCACAGGTGTGTCGGCTGTAGCGGCTGCCGTAGCGGTCGTAACGGTGCCGTACGTTACGTAACGGTGCCAAATTGTTTCTTTAAAAAAAATACAAAAAAAAAGCTGAAAATTGGGGAAGAGGGATAAAGAGAAGAGGGAAGATAGAAGAGAGAAAATGGAGGAGCAACAGATAGAGAGAGAGAAGAGGGAAGATGAAGAACAAATTATTGATTTGTTGAAACTGTAAGACCTATGCTATTCTATTCAGCTGCTATCACTAAATCATTTTGTTTGTGTGTGTCTATCTATATATTGTTTGAAAATAATAATAATAATAATAAGTGTGGTCATTATCTATTTGGCGTGGTCATTATCTGTTTGGCTTGGTTAAAATATGTATATATATATATATATATTTAGGCTTTTATTTATTCTCTTACTTTTGTCATTGTTTATCTTATATATAATAGTTAGTGATTGATTTTTTGTATAATATAAAGTCATTAATTATTAAAATAAAATGTAAAAAACTCAGTTTATAGTGATTTAGAAATATGAAATATATTGGATCATACTTAAAAATTTACAAAAATTGATCAATATTTATTTTTAACCCAATAAATATGATCATGGAAAAAAAATATGCGTATCGGTAAATTTTTTTCAAATTGTGCGAAAAATAAAAAAATTCACGGTTCCGATTACCGCAACCGTTACACTACGGCCGTTACACTACGGCCTTTACACCCCGCAACTGCAACCGCGTCACCGCCATCGTTACGGCGACCGCAACCGCTTTTCAGAACCTTGGTTGTGAACTATGTATTTGTTGAGATATACATGATTCTCATGTGCTAAATAACAAGGTCATGTGTGTAGGTAAAAAGGAAAAAACGCAGAGTTCATGGTGTGACAGTGATGATAGCACCATCTCAAGGATAATATGGGGTATTTTTCTCATGCTAAATGTGAGCTTTCAAATCCTCAGTGCCAAAACAGTAATTGTGGTCGATGAATGAAAAAGAAGAAATGTTGGGGAAATTCTATTTCCAAACATCACTTCCTCTCTTTTTACATATTTTCTCAATACATATATTAAATAAATCTAAATTATCAACTTTCACTCAATACATATCCTATCATACCAAAAATATCTTTACCATCTTCATCTTTCAAACCTTAACCCTAACAAGCCATCACTGCTGTTGCCGCCGTCGGCAACGCCTCTGCTACTCCCAACAACCTAAGCCCCCAGCCAATTAATCTATCAGATATGCTGGTCCACTACTATAAGATTGCCTAAACATACCATTGTTGGAGATGTTATTAATGACCTTAAGATGAAGGTAAAACCTTCAGGTGGAACATGTTTTCGCATAGATGTGCCTCTATTGATTGCATTACAATAATATTTTTTTGATCTCTGTGCAAAAGTATATTTTTTCTTATATTTACAATTACATATATTTGTTCGAGAGTCTTTTAATTTTGCTTGCAGTTCATATACTTGTTTGCAGTTCATATACTCGGCCATGGATGGTAATGGTGGAAATTGATGATTTGAGAGAGTTAGAGTTAGGGTTTTGAAAAAATGATATTTTGATAATTTAATTTTAAGACAAAAATGTAATTAAAAAAAAAATCATTAAGTGTGTGGAAAGAGAAGTAGTGTGTGGAGATAGAATTAGCCGAAATGTTGCTCTGAAAGTAGTCATTGATTTGTATTATTCATTGGTTTTAGCTTTAATTACATTCTACTCGGGAAAAGAGATTTTTTTATTTTTTATTTTTGTATTTTGGATAAAATAAAAATATATCCTCTCATATTTGTTTAAAATACGGATTATCCTTTGTAATTTTAGAAATTATAAATATCCCTTTAACATAATTTCTTATTTAACAAAATTAATGGGGAAAACAAAATTTATTACTACTCTTCTATACAATAACAAAATTAACTGAATCGTTAATTAAAATATATTTATAATATCATTAAAAATTATTAATTAATTTGAAGATTTATTGATATAATGGTCATTTGTTATGTAATTAAAAACTTAAAAGAACGAGATGTAATTTTCAAAATTACAATGGATAATCCATATTTTAAGTAAATCTCAAATAGTGTATTTGTAATTTGACCTTTACTTTTTAACTACATTTAGTGGGTGTTTGGAAAATGAGTTTTTATGTAGGTTTTTTTAGTTGTAGGATAATATTGGATAATTTTTTTTTGGTGTTTGGAAAGATAGTTGGGTTTTTTTGTGATTAGATGTGATGTTTGTGAGAGAAAAAGTGAAATGATTATGGAGTTGGATGTGATATTTTGTTTAGATTTGTTTTTTTTTTTAATTTTACAAAAACTTTGTCTTTTAGTGAAAAAAATAAAAAATAAAAAAACCCAAACCCAAAACTTGCCAAATACACTTCCGAGGTTTGCTACAATACTAATGGTTCCTTATGATTCTCGAAATTACATCTCTCCCTTTTAAATTTCTAATCACATAACAAATGACCCATTTTCACTAATAAAATGTTAAGTCAATTAATAGTTTTTAATTTGTTAGAAATATATTTCAACTAATAATTTTAATAATTTTATTGTTGCATAGTAAGATAGTTAGAATTGTTGTTGTTGTTAATTCCGTTAAATGGCAAATTATGACAAGGGGATATTTGTAATTTTTAGAACAATAAGGGACAATTCATATTTTAAACAAATCTTAAAAGGTGTATTTGTAATTTACTAAAAAAATAAAAAAATTCAAAAAGTATTTTTGAAAACTCAAAATTAAATACATTGGTTTAGAATTTTCAAAAATAATATTTTGAGTTTTTAATTTGTATTTTTATATTGTTAGTGATTTTTTTAAAAAAATATCTGTAATCAATTTTTACTTTTTGGATCCACTTAATTTTGATATACTTAACAAGTATAAAATTTATAAAAATATATTTAAAAAAATCATTAAATACAACAATATATGAAAATATATTGAATTTTTATTTTTGGTGAATTTTTAATTTTTTTTATAAATATTATACTTTTTAAGTATATCTAGATTATTATGTGTATCTAAAAAAATAAAAAAATTGCGTAAAATATAAAAGATTGTTAAAAACAAAAAATAAAAAATTCAATTACCAAAAAAGTGAATTATACTAAACAATTGTAAAAAAAGTTAGGATAAATTACAAATACACCCCTAAGATTTGCTTGGAATACAGATTGCCACATATAATTTAAAAAATTAAAAATACTCTATTGTTAGAATTTTTTATTTAATAGAATTAACTAAAAAAACAAAATTCTAACTTCTTTCTTGTATAATAATAAAATTACTTGAATTATTAATTAAAATAAATTTCTAATATCATTTAAAATTATTAATTAATTTAATAATTTATTAATAAAAGAAATAATTTATTATAAAATTATAAATTTTACGGAACGAAATTTAATTTATAAAATTACAAGAAGGCAAATCGTGTTTTATTAAACGTGTATTTATAATAGTCAAAAATTTTAAAACCGTGTTTTGTTTTCAAACCAGTGGTGGCATCCCAAACGGATGCTATCCACATTCCACACTAGGCGGCCGAATAGAAGATTGACACAGAGAGACTCGGTAGGTGTCTGTACTGTAGCCTCTAGTTCTTACTCAGAGACCTCAAATATTCTACTAAAAATTCACATAATATGGGTTCCATGTGAATACTACACTCATATAAGTCATTTGATAAAATTTTTAAGGCCTCTAAGCATATTTGTACTCATATAATGCCGCAGTACAGAGCGGCTTGAAAGGCTCTCTTTTGTCTTTGGCATTTTCTCAAACACCTTCCAAAGCCAATTTCCCAAAGAGGGGATAAGGGTAGTGTAGGGTATCCTCTAGTGGGGGTCTTTTGGATTGGAATTTCTGCATTTCTGCTCCTCAAATGGCTTCCACACTTGCAGATTCAAGCTTCCTTTTCATGGTAAATACACACTCACACACACTCTCTCTCTCTCTCTCTATATATATATATATATCTGTTTCATTGCTTGTGGTTTCTACATGTTGATATGCATTATTGTTTGATTTCAGGGACCCCGTCAAAGGCCAATTAAACCCCATAGATTTCAACCACTTAAATCTCCAGGTTTCCCTCTCTCACTTGGATAGACTTGGGTTGGGTTGTGCTTTTTATGGTTTCCTTCATTTTTTGTACTAGTTAAGAAGGGAATTTTTGGGTTTTGTCTATATATGGTGCTTCCGTTTAATGTAAAGCTGTATATCTTCACATTATTGGTTTTTTAAACTAAATTGTAAACCTGGAACAGCCCAATTGCATGTAATTTCTAGCAAAAACTTGCTCTTGATTATTAAATTGGAAATTTTCAATGGGTACTTATGTTCACTGGCTTTGCATAAAACCCATTTGATTAAAAGAGGAAAGGAAAAAAGAACCATGTGTAAAGGATTAAATGCACGTATGTGCCAAGTGCCACTTTGGACCCAATTATTTCATTTTTGTCAATTTGGTCCAATTATTAATGGATGGTTAAATTGGCTAATAGATACTGATACGAGGTATTTTGGACATTTTGTTGTAACACCTCAGGGGCATTTTGGACATCTCTGCCATCTATTGCTCCTCTATTTGTTGGGAGCTTCTATTTTATTATTATTATTATGTTTTTGAACTGAGTTGGGAGCTTCTATTTGCGCACGTCTCAATTTAAGGGCTGGTTTGGCAACCCTTCAAAAAGTCAAAAAGTTATCTAAAAAGTTAAAAAGTTATCACTATTCATAAAAAAAAATATTAAAAAAATAATATACACATTAATACAAATCAAAAAAAGTCCCACTAACGTAATGGTGGAGTCAGTGACCAGGAAAAAAAAATAGTAAAATATTCACTAAATTGGATGATAGAGTTGGGCCCGTGGGGGCCCATCATGGGTCCCGTTTTGATAATCTGAACCTTTCAATGTGTAGAACTCGTCTAGTATTATATGCCTGTAAAAAATCACGTCTATCGGATGTCGCTAAATACATGATCAAATCAGTTTTGTATAAAAATGGATGGTGTTATGGTTAATAGTTAACAAAAAAAACTAACACGATCAGATAGTTATTGATATCCAATCAACGTGATTTTTTTCAAGCATATAGTACTCGACGATTTCTACATATTGAACGGTTCCGATTAGTAAAATGGGACCCGTGGTGGCCCTCATGGGCCGAACAGAACCGACCAATTTATGCCCGAAAAGTAGATAATCAATCTCCTACACTGCCCACTACCGCGCTGCCCTTTAGGCTTCCAACCGTACGGTCTATTCCATCACTTTATTCTCCTATACACTTATTTATACAATTTTTTAATACACATTTTTTCATAAAAAGTCAAAAAGTTAATCAAAAATCCAATATTTTTTTCCTCAACTTTTTAGTCCAAAAAGACAAAAAATACCCTTATTTAGGATACCCCAAACAATCTCAAATTGCTTTTACTGTTCGGATATTAACTTCTAAACAAAATTTAATTGTTCTGATATCAACATTTAATTGTTAATTATTTGGATATCAACTGCCGAACGGTATTTTCGTTCAAAAGTTGATAAGAAGCACGGACATGAACATGTGATCTGACATTGACATGTCCAATGTCGGGCTCTATGAATATTTATTGATGGGGTCATGTAAAAACTAAACACTAATTCTAAAAATTACTATATTGATAATATTACTTTTGAGCCCCGAAAAAATGCAAATTTATCTCTCAACCAAATTTTTTTTTTTTTTGCAAAAATACATATTACCAATTTAACACAAGTGTTTGGAGTATAAGATGAAACTTGCATTATGGTTTTTTTTTTTTAGCTAATAAAAATAAAGCAATAATATTAACACTTCACTTTAAAACTCTCACAAAGGAAACCTAATTCTCTCTCATATTTTTCTGTGCACAGTTTTCAACTTTTCATTCAACCATTTTAAATGTCAGAAAATCCAAGATAATTTAAATGTTCATTTTGTTTTATCAACTAAAGACCGTTTTCAAAAATTGAGAGATGATGGATGGGATGCTTATGCTTTACTTATCAAAGTAATATCATTTTGCGAAACGGAAAGAGAAATTGTAATGAAATTTAGTTGTATTGACTATGCAATTTTGTACATTAAAATTGCAATGAAATTTAGCTTGACTCAATCTTAAACAAATTTTGAGATTTAAAAGAGTGTAAAGTTCTACTTTAATTAGGATAGAATTAAAAAATGGTAGGAGGGCTGTGATGGGGGAAAGGCTCTCCAATGATTAATGTTGCTGTACAATGGATTCAGTCTATTCTTTATTTAAGAATAATTATATTAATGTCATTTATGTCTTGACATGTGTTTTTAACCTGATAATATCACCAATAAAGAATATGTAAAACAAAAAATCAGAGATAGTGTATGGTGGGTTCAACTATAGTCTTCTGGTATTTTTTTTTGGATCTTAAGCTTTGAAATAATTTGGCCTTCGAAACATTGATATGTATATATATATGTACATCAAGTATGCCACTGTACTAAATAATTGAAATGTTTGTAGCATTTGCTTTTTTAGTTTCTATCTGTATTTTCCCATACATCTATGTGGGCCCCTTGTAACGCATATGCTGATAGACAGGCCTATATTATTTGAAGTGGAAAAGTCTGCGTCCAACTAGAATCAAACACCAAAGATGTTTGATTCCCCTAAGAAGGATTACCACCGTACGAGCTGTGGCAGTTCCAGTTGCTCCATCTCCAGCAGATAGTTCACCATCTCCAGCAGAGAGTGCAGAGTACAGAAAAAAATTAACTGAGAGCTATGGTTTTAAGCAAATTGGAGAACCACTTCCAGAAAATGTTACCTTGAAAGATATTGTCGCTACCCTTCCAAAAAAGGTAATTCCACAAGCACTGAATGTATGCTACCTAACTTCTTCTTCTTTTTTTTCATTTATTATTATTATTTTTTCATGTTCTTGTTTGCTTTAAAAGCATGATTTTCCTGTATAAGATTGTGGACCTCTCTTTTACAAGGACTTGTAGGCCAAAAGATCAGTTGAGTGGTGGTTTCCTATACACAGGGTCACAGATCCATGCCAACACTAAGTAGTAGAACTTCATTGTTTAATTAAAGAATAAAGACCTGAATTACATGAGCAGTATTTTTTTAGTCAGGCTCAGGCTAAATTTTCTGATCTTGTTAAGCAGTAAGCAGCAAACAATACTTTTGCAATAGGATTATGTATCATGATTAAATAATGTTCACAAAGTGGAATACGAAGCTGCAGCTGTTCACAAGGAATGTCCATTGGTGTTTGTCATTTGTGGGATTACTTTATTAACTTATTTTTTAATTGAAAGTACATATTCTGGTTTCCATACACACTTTATGGTGGACGTTTTGCTTGCTTGTGCTCTTTAGTTAGAGTGGAGAATCACAGTTGTAGACTCAGAAGGAGGAGCACAAAGCTCCAAAATTTACAATGAATGTGTAATGTTAGTCATCAGGCCTTAAATTCTTTTAACTATCCTGCCCGAAAAGAAAAAGAAAAAGAGAAGTGTTGGCTACTGTTTCTTTGTATATGTTTCATGCAACAAGGTTTCAATTAATTTACAACTTTACAATAGATATGAGTAGGCTTCTGTTAGTCAAGTTCAGTCTTACCACTTGCTGGGTCTTAATAGACGTACATTTTTTACTTTTATTTTTGAAGGTTGTCATGTCTATGGTTAAATTTTTCCCATGAGTTTGAAATTAATTGAAAGACATTGTGCTGCAAAATAAGTAGGTTCAATGGAACTGATAATAGTTGCTTGAATGACAGAAATGTAATGCAACTAAAGAATGAACTTAATGAGAAGAAAAGAAAGACAATTTCCAACATCAGATTGGAGCTTTCTTTGAATCATTCCTAGAGAGAGGAAATTGTAGCCTTTATTGTGGTTTGAGAGACATCGTAGATATAGTGCCAAATTAGCTTGGATATCTTCATATTTTGTTTTTTGATAAATAAATCAAGCTTTATTGAGAAAGTATCAAGGTGATGCAAAGAATACTAAAATTAAAAAGCCAAAAGACATGGCACACAAAACGCAAAATAGAAAACTCGAAGACTAGCTAATCAAGTCATCCACAAAATCCGCAAAGGCCAACAAATCCGGCTCAATCGAAAGCATGACCCAACTATGAAGTACTGAGAATAACCAGATTTCCAATCATGTAACCAAATGAGTTACACCCTGAAAAATGCACCTATTACGTTCCAACCAAATCAACCACAATAAACAATGAGCAGCAAGTAACCACGCCTTCCGACGCCGTTTCCCGACCTTCCCCCCACCCCAACGCTGCAACAACTCCACCACCATCCCTGCCTGAATCCAAGTCAAACCAAAAGTCGCCACAATAACCATCCAAAGCCTCGATGCAACTGAACAATGAATAAGTAGATGATTTGCCATCTCCGCATCCCCACCACACATGCAACACCAATTAACTAAGATATGCCGACATCGAATCAAATTATCAATAGTCAAAATACAACCCAAAGTTGCTGTCCACACAAAGAAAGCAACTTTGGATAGACTCCCAGGCACCCAAATATACCTCCAACGAAAAGAAACAGCCACCCCACCCACAAGTATTCGATATCTTCATCAATTTTTAAATTAAATCAATATGAAGATTGTAAATTGTAATGGTGTTCCTGCAATTGACATGACTAAAAATCCATCTGAACCCTTCAACTGTGTCCATTTCATCCATCAATTAATAGCGAAATAGTTTTTTTTTTTTGTTCTATTTAAATATATGTATAAAAGATTTGTTCTACTTATTACTTTGGTGTTATGCGTACAAACAATACTATGAACAGTGAATGCTAAATTTACAAAGTGAAGTGTCTAAGTGGACCAATTCATTGTTAGCCAACCAAATTAAAGCTTGAAAGTTGAAACTGATAAGTCTACCCTTGCTGGTTTCCTCGACAATTTTTTTTGTTTTATTTTTTTTAATTGCTCAATTGTTGTTTCCCTTGTTCATATTGCTATCATTTTCATCAATTTCAGAGAGAGTTTGCAGCGTGTCCCTAACAAATTATAAAGATATTTTTTTTTGAGAAACAACAAAATTTTATTAAAACGGAAAGGACAGAGGACAAGGAGTCCTCATACAAGGAGGGAAAAAAGAAGAAGAAAAAGCAAAACCAATCACAAGACTCCAAACACTAAGAATGACAAACAGCAGCCCAATCCCTAGAAATCAAAAACAAAGGAACTCCTTTAAAAGGAGGAGATACAAAAGTCCAAAAAGAAGCCAAATATTCAATCCTATCCCACAAAACCTCTACACTTGCTACTTTGTCGTCAAAAATCCGAGCATTTCTCTCCAACCATATAACCCAAAAAATAGCAAAAACAATGCCTAACCACAGTGATTTGGCTTTCTTGGTACTCCCAAACCCATCAAACTGAATAAGAAGCATATGCATACACTCCCTTGGAGCAACCCACTGCATATCACATAATCTGAAAAGGCGCTGCCATAATGCTGTTGCCACCGGGCAATGAAGAAAAAGATGATCCGCTACCTCCAAATTATTCTTGCACATCACACACCATTGGGGGCAAAGAGAGTGATTAGGCCTTCTCCTCTGAAGAACATCATTAGTTGTAACACCCTTTTGAACCAAAGACCACATGAAAAACTTCACTTTATGAGGAACACCCGCTTTCCAAAATTTCTTGTGAAAAGGGAATAATGGAACCGAGGGATTATCAATAATCTTATCAAAAAAGGATTTGCATGAAAAGACCCCAGAAGAAACAAGATTCCACACCCTACTGTCTAGAGTCGAAGAAAGAGAAACCCCCTCAAGCACAACCAACAAAGAAGCCAGTTCCCCCACCTCCCTATCATTCAAGTTTCTAATGAAATCAAAATTCCATGATATGGGTGCCAAAGACGAGCAAGCCATCGATGCTATAGACGGATTTGGAGAATGAACCAACTTGTAAAGAAGGGGAAAGGATCTAGCCAACGAAATATCCCCTAACCAAATATCCTCCCAAAACCGAACAGTGAGCCCATTCCCTACGTTGAATGAAAAATAATTAGACACAAGAGGATACAAACGAGAAATGGATTTCCACGGAGAACGACAATTGCCTCTATTAACCACATTAGAATCCCTACCATTGGATTGAACTCCATACTTACTTTTAATAACTGAACACCACAACGACTCGCTTTCAAAAGGAAATCTCAAAAAAAAAAAACAAATTATAAAGATATTACTCTTTCACATATACACTATCTTGGAAATGTGAAGCCGAGTATTGAGATCATGTGGCTTTCTGATGCTTTTCTTTTTCCTCTTAAAATTTTGTTAAAGGTGTTTGAGATTGATGATGTGAAAGCATGGAAGTCAGTTTTAATATCTGTCACTTCCTATGCGTTGGGCCTCTTCATGATATCCAAAGCCCCATGGTATTTACTTCCTCTAGCTTGGGCATGGACAGGGACTGCAATCACAGGGGTTAGTTCTGTGTGAATATATCTTCATATATTAAATTGCTTTCCGTTGCTTCTATCTTACTTCAGTCTTTTTAATAAGCTGTACATCCCAGCCAACTCTTTTTATTTTGGTTCTTTTTTTTTCTCCCTCCATTGTTAAGTTCTTTGTTATAGGACATGATTGTGCACACAAATCATTCTCAAAAAACAAATTAGTGGAAGACATTGTGGGGACTCTGGCTTTTTTGCCGTTGATATACCCCTATGAGCCATGGCGTTTTAAGCACGATCAACATCACGCAAAAACAAACATGTGAGTATGATATTCTTGTCAGTCACTTATATCTATGAAATAAATCTTTTTTGGTTGGTTTGATTACAGTTTGTTACTAGCATCAACATTGGTCAAGCATGTACATGGACAAGTTTTTATAATCATGATATTAGGATTTTTACCACTGCCCAGATGCAGGTGGTGATTGCATCAAAGACATCTTGTAACCCTCCCAGCCCTCTCACCCTCCCAGAATAATGTGAGCAAAGAATGTAAAAAATAAATACATAATAAAAAAACAAGTAACAGCTTTTTTAGTCGATTTTATTTTCTGTTTTTATAATTTTGAGTGTTAGCTACAGTCTCAAGAAGCACTTGAGGAGAAGTCCCTGAAAATTTTCAGTTTTCCACACTACGTAGGGTTATCAAACAGCCGTTGGTGTAAATTTTCTAAGGACAGTTGTTTCTTTCCCATACTTGAATCAAGTACTACAACTGTTTAGATGTCAATAGATAATCAAATTTAGACCCCTATTATCCGCTCTTTTGCTATGTTTAGAAATCACATCTATTTGCACATCAATGTGTATGTTGTCCATAAACACAGACTTGTATGAGTGTAACTTTTTTACTCGTTCACTTCATTCCTTATTCTGTAGAACTTTCTGTGTCTTTTTATTCATCTCTTCATTCTATTGCTTTAAGTTCTCATCCCTCATCATTCTAGGTTGTCTGAAGATACAGCTTGGCACCCTGTTTGGAGAGAGGAGTTTGATTCATCTCCAGTTCTGCGGAATGCAATTATATATGGCTATGGCCCACTTCGGCCTTGGATGTCTATTGCTCACTGGTAAAGTTGATAAATAAAGCATTATGATAGTACAAGACTTGCAATGTTCTGTTGATTTCTAATGTGTTATTACTGGTTTTATTGGTCAGTCCAACTTCATGCATTTCTGTCTTTGATGTGTACGTTAAGTTTAACATTATTAAGCATGCTAATAGGTTGATGTGGCACTTCGATGTGAAGAAGTTCAGACCAAATGAAGTTAAAAGGGTGAAGATAAGCTTGGCTTGTGTCATTGCGTTCATGGCAATCGGATGGCCACTGATTATCTACAAGACAGGGATCATGGGATGGATCAAGTTCTGGTTAATGCCATGGTTGGGTTATCACTTTTGGGTAAATATTATATCCTCGGCTTTTCTGAGTATGCACTATTTAAAACTAAAAAATTGGTAACTTTTTGGAATTGCTTGATATTACGAATAATGTAGTAGTAAAAGTGAATCTCCTGATTTTTGCTTTCTGGAAACATGGTAGAATGTCTGAATGCCATTGTGGGAAATGCCATAATTGGATGCAGTATCCCTATCATTTGATAGCAGTTTCAAATCTTGTGTGGCATTTTCATCAAGTTTTTTGATTGAGCTACTTATATCGCTTAATATTCAATTAATATAATTTTTTCATTGATCTTCTGAATATTATTTGCAAATAATCTTGTTTCACTTTGCAATGAATGTTCCTGAATAATGTCATTTGTCCTCGATACTGTCTTTTTAAAAGTTCTTGTTATAGTGTTCTTACTATTGTCTACTTCTTCCATCGTATTTGTTTGGACCATCAAAACTCTACCTCTGTAATTTTCCCAAGTATTGAATAATTTAGTAATTTTCATTTGTCATTATGTTACTCCAATCAAGTTTTTGGTTTCTATTGATTGGGGTGCCGTTTGTTAGTCTTAGTTTTGAGGGTTGTTTACTTATTTGTTCTTTTAGTTAGTTTTGTTTTCATATCTGTATGAGGACATCTTGTCCTCCCTTTGTCAACGTTTTATTCCCTTTTCAATAATTTTTTTTTTGTTGCCTCTCAAAAAAATTGAACCTATCAATTGATTTTGTCCCAGAAGTTTTAGATCAAACAACTTTATGGCTCAAATTATAAATCTTGGTTTATGTGTAAGAATTTTGGTTTCCTCTAATTTGTAGATGAGCACTTTTACAATGGTCCATCACACAGCACCTCATATACCTTTTAAATATTCTGATGAGTGGAATGCGGCTGAGGCTCAGCTCAATGGCACAGTTCACTGTGACTATCCTCGTTGGTAAACTATCCTTTCTTCTTTAATTTCTTTTCTGTTTTTCCTTATAAATGTATTTTAACCGATACGAATAGCTTTACTTGATGGCCATGATAATTTTGAAAGAACTTTGTTTGGTTCTTTCTTGAAGGCTACTCAGGAATGACAGTTGGACATAAATCATATTTAAACATGGTGAAATTGTTCATTTTTGTGCAAGTTCCCGTTTTCACTAAGCTTCTGCCTTTCATATGCCCTTGTTACTAACTTACTAGTTAGAAAAGGGTGTGTGACGCGATAAGAAATGCTTGAATAATGCATCAGACATGAGTTCAAACATTCTAAGTAGCTTTTCTTTCTTCTGCACAGGATAGAGATCCTCTGTCATCATATCAACGTCCACATCCCCCACCATATCTCTCCTAGGATCCCAAGCTATAATTTGCATTCGGCTCATCAGTCGCTCCGTGAGAATTGGGGAAAGGTATGGTTAGTTTTTTTAGCGTGCTTGATCTCAATCTGCTACCATTGATTAATAATCCACCAGGGGTGTTGAATTTTGTGCTGTTGAACTTGCTCCTTTTCATTTCTCATAACATTTGAAAGATTAAATCCATCTTCAAATGATCATCAAACCTAAGAAACACGGATACTACTATAAAGGTAGTGTCCGTCTTGGATGCGGACACTCATCGGACACTTCTCAACACATATCGAATGCTCATCCAAATGTGTCCTTTATTTTTTTGACCTGGATATGTTTCTAACACTTGAGGGACACACATGAAACACATTATAAGTTTGAACAAAATAATTTAGGATGCAATGATGAAAGAAAAAAAAATATAGTTTTATACTTCCTATTAATTTCTCATCCTTCAAACTTTAAGAATGAATGTTATGTTTGCTTTTTTATTATCCTTGAATGAAATATTTGTTTATATAATATATAATAAATATATAAAACTATGTGGTTTGCACATGACGCCCCACGTGTTGTGTCGCGTCTTGTATTTTCTAAAATTTGTTGCGTTGCCATGTCTGTGTTATGTTCATGTCCATGCACGTGTCTCTGCTCTTAACATCAAACCATTTCATGGCGTTCGAATTCTGTGCAAGCATACTAACAAACTTGTTATATTTCCATTCATTCTGCTTTTTCATGTCACCAACAGTATCTGAATGAGGCGACTTGGAATTGGCGTCTAATGAAGACCATACTCACGACATGTCATGTTTACAACAAGGAGCAAAACTACATCGCCTTTGATGAACTTGCCCCAGAAGAATCCTATCCGATAACAATCCTTAAAAAAGTAATGCCTGATTATGCTTGATTTACATGTATGTGTAGAAAGAAAAGCATTATAGGATGCTTCTCGGAATTCAGTTACTTTACCTAATTTTTCAAGGAGAAAAAACCACATATGAGTTCTATATAATATGATAAAATTAGCCGGAAAGAAGAATGTCTGAATGCCATCGTGGGAAGGATTAACATGACCTTGCATCTTTATTGCAACATATGTCGGAATTTAATACTGTTTTCTTCAGAGATTGATATGGTGTCGAAACTTTTGGCTTATGCATTAATATATGTACAAATGTAAGAGTAATATTGGTTGGAACTGCTCGCGCGAGACAATGATTTCGCCTCCCAGAGTATCTTATAATATAAATTTTCATGCTACTGACATTGACGCGCATTGTTAGCCAATTTTGAACTTAAACTAAGTTAATAATGATATTCAGCATAGTTTATTATCGACTTTTATGACAGAGTAGTTAAAAATATATATATATATATATATATAAATTGTTAATGATTTTTCTAATATCTGTTGGATAACTGCTGGCCGTGGAGAGGGTCAACCGAATGAGTTTTATATTGTGTGTGTGGTTAATCAAATTGGGATTTGCTCCTTTTGAGGAGTTTGAACATAATCTAATCTGCTGCAGTGTTATTAATAATTCAAAGTTGCACAGAGACGGAGGGAACCCTGTTAGTTTAGTGTTATAATTTTTAATTTTTAATTTTTTTTGATTTATTGTTTAAAAAAAGTAAAGAAGAGGAGAATATTGTGAACCCTTGAACAAAGGGCAAAGACTAAAGGCCGGAGTCATGATTTCTTGATGTGGGTACGATCATAAGCAGATTTGGTGCCCTAAAAAGAGCTCATAAAATTGAAGATTCAAAGTAGAGAAATGCTATTGACGCCTAGCCAATCACTGACTCAACCACTGAACAGGCATAAAACAGGAGTCAAGCCAATTATTGACTTAACCACCAAATAGACATAGAACAGGAGTCGAGTTTGATGTTATGTCTATTCGGTGGTTGTCAAGTCCGATGTATGCCTGTTATGTCGGTTTGGTGGTTGTTGAGTCTTATGTTATGCCAGTTTTTGTGGTTGATTCTGTGGTCGGTTTGATGTTGTGATCTTAGATACTTCTAGAATTTGTGCACCAGTAAAGCAGTTTAAGCAGTTGCAACTGCTCACATCCAAAGAGAACCTCTTTATCTTATCTCAATGAAGAATCTTACTGAAACCATTGTAACAAAAGGGAAGGAAGATGAATCAAACTTTAGAAAAAGCAAAAGTCAAAAAGAGAAAATGAGAACCAAAAGATAAAGAGTAGTATAGGAGAGCCTTCATTGTACTTTAAAAAGCAAGAAAAAGAAACAAAGTATAGGATAGGATAGGATAGGATAGGATAGAAAATGCAGTACACCCTTAAAAACATTTCAGCAAATGCATATGCATCAACTAGAGGGAAACAAAGATTTCAAATTATAGTCTTGAAATATGAGTTTCATTCCTTTGTCATTTATACATACAAACCCTACACAATGCTAGCGCTCTTTTATCGGGCGTAATGCGTAATATGCTCGGATTCGAGTCTCAACAATGCCTGATGCAATTTTCGGTTCTCCTATTCCCTCCTATGGATTGTTTAAAAAAAACAAAAACAAAAACTAGTCTTTCTAACACGTAAGGGATGGACTACAATATCATCTTCTACATTTTCTCAGGAAACAAACAGAATACCATTTAGATCAAAATGGAGGACAACAACTTCAAGCAGAAACTCATGTGATCGGCGGAGGTGGAGTTTCCCATATGTCAAACACATTCTCCTCACTGTGAAGAGCAAAAAGCCTATCACCCCCAATTGAAAAATCACAGATTGAACCTCCATAGCTGCGTCGAAGCCTGGATGTTAGCACCCAATCAGGACCAGAAAACACCGAAATACTGTCATTCATAGACGAAAACAACTGGCCCTCGTGCAATGCAAGTTTTGGGTAACATGGTTCATCCGGCATCTTCCCTTTCATCAACCGACTCCTCGAACACCACCGGACACTCCCACCACCACTCCTCAAGTCCATGAACCCTAAATCCTCATACTCATTCACCACACATATATTATTAGTCTCTTCCATCGCTATAGCGTCTCGGACCCGTCTCTCGTCGGTCGCCGGAGCTCCGATATCCGACCAACACCAAACCATACTCTTTTCCCTAAAATCCAACAAACTAATATAACAATTGTCTTTCCTAGGAAACAAAGTTGCAACCAACAAACAGTTAGTACCATGTAACCACTGAAGCCTATCTGCATCACCAAGTGACCAACCAATTGGTTCATAGTAGAAATCAATCTGTTTTCCAGTGATTTGGTCCCAAACACCAATCCCATACTCATTGCTTCTACCTTTACAACTAGAAAAAATCTTGTAATCCTCTGTGCTAAAGCTCAAAGCACCAGCTGTGTAACTCTTCACTTGATCCTCATGATTGACCTGAAATCTATGCCTGATTTCCCCTGATGATGCAGAAAACAGAGCCATCCCGCCATCGCCGCGCCCTAACCGCTCACATGCGGTGACCACAACGGTCTCCGAATCGATCCAACCCACATCATTGATCCTCTGATAATCAAGACTGATTGGAGGGTGCTCTTCTAGCATCCAATCATAAACATGGACCATACTACCATGAGCCACACAGCACCCGCCGTCCGGGCCAGCACGGATTGCCGTGCCGTCCCCGGGGGCTTGCCCTGTTTTGGACCGTGAAAAACGGAGCCGATTTCCATTAAATTGGCCTCGTTTCGCGGTCCGAACGTGGTCTAAAAGGCCATAGAACATGGCTTCTCTGTAGAGGAGTTTTTCTGGGATATGGGATGGAATATAGAGCTCCCCTGTTCTGAGGAGGTCTAGGAGGATTGCGAAACAATCGGGGTTTCGATCGATGAAGAATTCGTCGGAATTAAGGGTTTGGAGGTTCCATTGATGATCAAACATTGCGCCGAAGAAGGAATTTCGGCCGGCATTGGCTAGGGTTGTTGATGTGGTTTCGAAGAACTTGCCTCCCACATTGAATTTTATTCTGTCCTTTTGAATTCCCATGGTTCAATTCTCAGCAAAACTGAGCAAGACCCAGATGGGAATTTCAAGTTGGAACACCAAGAACAAATGGAAACCGAATTCAAAACGCACAGCAAAGAAAGGAAAATAAACCTGGGATTAATGGAGGAATGGGGGTTTTGAGAGAGAAAGACTTATTAATAAAGAGGATCAGAATATTAAAAAAAAAATTGAGACACAGAGGAATTGAAAGCTATAACCTCATGATAAGACCAGACTATGGAACAAACTGATGAAGAATTTGAGGTGTCCTTGTTGCAGGCCAAAAAAAAAAAATTAGAAAAACAGGGGAGAAATTGGATCAGATTCAGAGAAATTTGAGAGGAAGTGAGAGAAAATAAGATTTGGGTATTGAAATTTGAAGGGGTTTGGGAAGTGGGTTCATAATCTTGTGTGAATTGGAGAATTTTGGAGAGCGGTTGAATTTTTCAAAACACGAATCGGCTCTGTTTCTTGATCTTGTTTTCTCTCTCTTCCTTTGCTTTTTCCACATATCTCTCTCTCTCTCTCTCTCTCTCTCTTTCCGCCTTTGTCCTTACCTCAAAACATGGCTAAGCATTTTATAAATCAATGGTCTGTGGTAGGGTCCACTTTAAAAATTCACACCCTCTGTTTTGGACCGTTGGATGACCATCAAAGTTCACATCAAATTGATCTAATGGTGGAGGAGATGAGATGTATGGGAATCCATAGGAAAGCACTAGTAAGATGTGGTTTTAATTAATTTAATTGGGAATAATGCTTGGGACCCCCTTTTGGGGGTCATCCCCTTGTCACGTGGCGGGTGGTAATTGGGGGAGCAAGAAAAAAAAGAAAAAGAAAAAGAAAATATAACCAATGAGAGAGGAAGGGATCAAAAGGAGTGAGGAAAAAGGGGATAAATTATTGTTGTTTAATTGGTGTGCAGTAGTTAAGGCATTCCATGAAAGCGCGTCTTGTTGGGGGAAAATTTTTTACATGCTAATGTATCAAGCTCTTTATTTCCCACCAATCATAAATATGTTTTTAATATTTTTAATAATATGATCTATATTTTGTTATCAACAATTATAATAATAAAGGATATCATATAAATATATCTTATTTATATAGAAAAATTGCTCTTTGTAGGGTGATTGTTTGAAAAATATTATGGTACACTCCCTTCAAAAAGTGTGCATCATAAACATTTTATAACTAAAATGAAAAATGACATAATTTTAATTTTATGTGTCATAACTATAAAAAAAAAATTATAACTAAATACAATATAAGGCATAACTAAAAAATTCATTAGTCATAACTAAATAAAAAAATAACATAGCTAAGGGTACATATGGTACACCATTTTTAAAGCAGTGTATATTAGAATTTCCCCTTTTTTAATTATTTTTTGGAAAAATTATTTTTAAAAAAAATCAAGATTTGACTCTTTTAACAAAATAATTTTTAATTTTATTAATTTAAATCCTAATTTTTAAATTTATTTTCAATCGAAATTATTTATCTATTTTTGTTAAGTTAAACTAACGAAAAAATAGAATTTTAATCATTCAATCAACAAATAATAATAATAATAATAATATTTTAGACATTTTATATACATTTACATTGAGCTTAATTAAAATAATATTTTTTTTGTCAGTCTTAACAAAATAGATGAATAATTTAGTTTGAAAATAAAATAAAATATTAAAACTTAAATTAATAAAATTAAAAAATTAAAAATAATTTTGTTATAAAAGTCAAACATTAAGATATTTTTTAAAAATAATTTCTCCTTCGTTTTCTTGAAAATGGAAACAATTTTGGTAGCCTTTCAAATGTCATGGTTTGTGTCGTTTTTTGAGATATATGGCTTAAAATTTTGGTAGCCTTTCAAATCATGATACAATTATAATCAAGCATATAAAATCATGACAAGGTCTCACACATGCATCTTCATTTTAAAAACTCTATTAAAAAATATGTTTGATTGTGAGTTTCAAAAACGGTTTTTTAAATTTTTAATAGATTTTTTTGATATTTTAATATTTGTTTTTTAAAAAAAAACTTTTAAACCCACTTAATCTAATGACACTTAAAAAAGTTTTAATTTTTTAAAATTCATTAAATACAAAAAAATCAATATATTTTTATTTTTTTGTATTTACTAATTTTTAAAAAAAAAATTATTTATAAATATTTTACTTTTTAAATATATTTAGATTAAGTAAATTTGAAAAGTAAAAAAAAATAATTAAAATAATGAAGTAGAATGTATTAACAATTACAATTATAATATTTTTGCTTTTTGGTGTCCTCTACTTACAACATTTTCCTCTTTTTTTTCCCCCTCTCATAACCACTTGAGTGTTGTATATTAGATTTTCTTTTATGAAAATGATACACACAAATGGAATTTTTTTATGATTTTTTTTTATATTACTAAATAAAAGACACGACTCTCACATATCAAAACCACGCTACCTTTGTCTCTACTGATAAATTATATGGTGATAAATTTGTTTTATGTTTATCATTACACTTTCTTTTATGTTTAATTAATAGAGAAAACTAAATTTATTTCTTTTATTTGGTTGGATTAGGAAATTAAGAAAAAAAACAATAGGAATTTATCAAAGAAATCATCTTTTTTTTTTTTTTGGTTTTGTTTTAGTTAACTATAAAAAATGGGTATATATATAAATAATTTCATTTTCATTTATTTTTATTTTTCTTAACAAATTGAAGATTCAAAATTATGTTACTATTAGGCATTAGTCTGTAACAAAGAAATGAGGAATCTTCTTTATTGTTAAAGTGGTGTTATGCAAATTAAAAATTGATATAAAATTTTAATTAGAATTATGTAGTAGTCTTAGCTCCTCTCATTTTAAAATCAAAAACTCAATAAATGGCTTTTATTTTTATTATTTTTTCAATAATTTTTTTATAAAAAAATGTTTTAGATTCTTTTCTTTATTATTATATAAATTTCATTGATTATATATATATATATATATATTAAGGAATGGTGGTTGAGGGTGGATGGTGGGGTTGTAATGATAAGAGCAGCGATTTAATTATATATAGAAAACAATTTTTTTTTTTTTAAAAAAAAAAAAAAAACTTAATCATCATATCTATTGGTTGGCTTAATTGACATGGTGGATAGGCCATTTTTTCAAGAGCGTCACTTGATTGGATTGAATCATGTTTGATAAGATTAAAGATAGCAATGGACATGCATCGCAAGCATTTGAAGATTATCCCTGTCTAAGATGGTTTGTTTAGGTTTGACAATAAAAATTAATTATGATGATCAGTTTACATTTAAGTAAAAGGCTAGCAATTTGAGTCTCCCGACCTAACTTATGATCTCGTTCAATTGTCAAAAATATTATGCAAAGATTTTAGCTGATATTCAATGTGATTTAATGGCATTTGGTTGTTCGACTTATCTCTCAGTTTCTAATAAATATATATATATATATATATTAGCGGGTAGTGTTAAAAGCAAAATATGTGCAAATGTATATAGTTTAGGAATGAAATTGAAATTTTAAAAATTTGAATAGTTATCTCACATAGACAGTTTTGAAACTATTGTGGGCATTTTGGAAAAATCAAATTGTGTGACAAATCAACCCTAAGTTAGGTATGAACTTAATAGAATAGTGTATATACATACATATATATAATTAAAAAACTTATATCCATTGTGTAAAGTCTTAAATTCAAGTATTTCTATATACCTAATATTTAAAGGTGAATTACAAACCATTGATTAAATAGTTGGCATGTAAGTTTTTAGTGTAGAAAAAAAAAAAAAAAAACTTACACCAGACAAGATTCTCACCATTTTGAAATTGTATGCCCTATTTTTTGGTGATTTGAAATTCTTTCTCATATTCAATAGCAATAAAAAAAAAATAATTATTATTATTATTATTATTTTTAATAAAGTAGAATAGTAGCCAGAATCACTTTGAGTTCAAGGGAACTTGAAATGATGATACCACAAGTTTGAAGCAAAAGTCATTCTTAGAAGAAAAAAAAGGGAAATGATGGTCCATAATAATTTGTCACAAGAAATTTTTATTTTCTTCTTACAATGAACCTCTTTCTTTAACAATAACAATTCTACAAATCATGGAATGCACTGGTACAACCTCTTGGCTTTGTTTTTGCTTTTACACATCTCCTCCCCTACTTGAAGTGGAAAGGCTTATTATTCTCTCCCCAAAATTGAAAATTCAACCAATGATCTCAAACTAACAAAACCACAAGAAACATATTAGTGGTTTATTTGGTAATCAAAATTTCGAGAGTGAATTCACAAAGAATAATGATATATAAAAATAAAAATTTTACAAAAATATTATACAGAGTGATGTGATTGATTGTAATCTTTTTTATTTAGAAACATAATCAGTGTGCTTGGTTTGAGTTTTCTAGATTAAGTTTTTTGAAAATTGACTTTTTTGTTTTTCGTGTTTTTTTAGTTTTAGTGACTATTTTTAAAATTTTAAGCATTTGTTTTTAGTTTTTTAGATGTACTTTACTTAGATATATCTAAAAACTAAAAAATTGTAAAAAAATATTTTAAAAAATTAACAAATACATAAAAATACGAAAAACATACTAAATTTTTGTATTTTTTTTATATTTTTGGTATTTATTGAATTTTTAAAAGATTTTTTCACAAAAATTATACTTTTTATGTGTATTTATGTTAAGTGTGTCTAAAAATTAAAAAAAAATGCTTAAAATATTAAAAAATTCAATAAAAACAAAAAAATACAGAAAACAAAAAGTAAAATTTTCTGAAAACTATTTTCAGAAAAACGAAACCAAACAAGCTGAATGTCATCACTTTGGTCATAATGTATAAGGATGTCACTGCTATATTATTCTTATAATAAATTTTGTATAAAAATTATTGTAATTTAGCATTTTCCATTCACAAATTAATCTTATGAAAGAAATTAATTAGAAGTCGGGTATGTCACATTACAAATAGCATACAAATCAACCTGGTTATTTTATGTGGTTATAATTAGAGCCTTTGGCTTAATGGTTGTGTAGCATTATTTGAGGCTGTGGGTTCAACTTTTATAGAGAGGAATCTAAATATTTTGTATTGTTTATTTCTCTCTTATTATGGGGATTGTATTTTTTCCGAAGTTTGGGTTGTGATTGTTCGGTTTAATGTATTGTCGGGCTTTGATTGTTTAATTTGATGTAATGCTTTTTCATATTGCAATTAATTTTCTATTGATTAATAATAATAATAAGTCTATGTAGTTAAAACTCTTGTATTTTACTTGGAAGGTTAAGAATTCAGGTGAGATTAAGGGCTTAATCATGATTTTGTTTTGTAAGATGTCAAAATTTAACAAAATAAATTTTGTCTTGTGAAAAATGATCTATCCCTACGAAAATCTCTCACAAAAGCAACTGTGTGTGTTAATTTTCGACCACACTACCAATCAAGCACTCAGCTGGAGAACACTGGCAGAATAGATCAAGCCCGAACGACCTATCACAAAAAGAAGAGATTCCGGCGATGGTTCATCCAC